CTTGAGGGCGTTCAGGACGGTGACGCCGTCCGTGAAGACGCGGTACGTCAGCAGGAACGTGTTGAGGAAGTCGATGGAGAGGAAGCGCAGGTCCGTCAGTCGCTCCAGCAGCCGCTCCGGCGTGGCGTACCGCACCTGCGGCACCTGCCCGGAGAATCAGGCGTCGGTGTCATCGGAGTCATGAGGGTCACCAGAGTCACCAGGGTTACGGGCACGGACGGAGCTACACGGGACTAATAAAGTGGAGGGTCAGATAGATGATTCAGGTGCGTCAGATCGGACGAATAAACATTCCGCATGTTGCGTCCTTTTAACGAGTTTGTGCAAAATCCAAGCATCCTACTACAGGACAAAGATAAATATAACAGGACATGAAGGGATACGAACTTAACCCATGTCACACACACCAACAGGGTCATGGGCACAAAGGTAACTTATTATCACCGACCACATCCATAACAATGCCATTACTGTATCATACCAATTTACTGAGCAGACTAATCGGCACGATCAGAACAGCTCGGAACAGATGGTCAGAGCGTAAACCTTTTACTACAACCACATCCTGCATTGTAACGCTGTTGCAGCCTCGGCTCGCTGCTCTCAGCTTGCTTTCATCTCCGGATCAAGGGCACGGGTCTCTGCCGTTCGCTGCACGCAGGACCTGGCTACCCTGTGCGGAGGCTAATCCACAGCCATCTAGGTCACTCACATGCCCACACGCTCACATGACATGTCCTCACCTTGCAGGAATTGAGCGTCTTGGAGAAGCGGATGTCGATGTCGTCGCGGAAGAGCTTGGGGTCGTTCCGGATCGAGTGCGGCATGGTCACTGACGACGTGTCCGAGACCGAGCTGCGAAACCAGTTGTTGAACTGCACGTTGTCCAGGCACTGTCGGCGAGAAGTCCGTCAGTGTGGGGGAGGGGAGGGGAGAGGGGGGGGGGACTCAGAGGCCGTCAACGTCCTGAGGCGGGTTTTGACGTTAAGCTACTCCCTTTAACACGCAAGGCCCGGATGGATCCCTTAGCTTAAATATGCCCCGTGCCAGAATGTAGTGTTTGCAATTTTCGTGAGTGGTGGCTACCATCCGTGAGTACATGATCTCCGTGATTTGATCGCGCGAATGGCCTGAGCTCTGCCTTGCACCCCATGTTAACTGCATGTCGCGTGGCATCAGTGTAGTTGACATATGGCCACACCCGCCGATTTGCTCTTCGATCCGACCAAAGCATGCTGTTTCACGCATGCATGCTTTCAGCATGCTTTCACAACACATCGTGAAAACGTGCTGTTTGTCGAAAAGGCCTTAGCCGGAAAGGTCTGAAAAGGCCTGAGATATTAGCAACGTCACCGAGACCGAATAACCCCAGTTGCCTTCTCCTTCATCATCACCCAGCATCTGTCAAAAGCAGTGGCGGAGGGTGCAAAGGAAATGGAACGAATGTAATGCTGCAGACGACGCCGCATTTGGCTTCTGAATGATCACTTGCTGGCAATGGCGCGGGCAGGGGGTGGGTAGAGGGGGCACACGCTCTAGCCCCCCCCCCCCCCCTTGGGACTCAAGGGTCCCCTGAGTTGATAAGGGACTATATGTCAGTCAGGTATCAACAGAAACGCACAGTCGGCTCCATGCCGGTATGGGCCTGATGGCCATTTGCCAAGCAGAGGCAAAGTTGGGACCAGAAATTTATTTTGGTCGAGGCCCCAGCGTCTGCAAGGCCTCCACAGAGCCTGGCATGGGGTCCTCCGTAGGCATAGGGGCCTCGAGTCGGCCAGGGGTAGTGTTCGAGAAGCCCGGAAGAGAGCCAGGAGGACCCATCGGGACCGACGGTCAAGGGCCCGATTGGAGGGCCTAAAGGCACGAAGGGCTTGTCTTGGTCTTATTCAGGGGCCCCAGGCCTACGGGGATGGGCTCTCAAATGATAGTCAGAGGGCTCTTTGCACCGATTGGGGACCCCTAAGTTGGTAAGGGTCCATATGTCGGTCAGGCACCACCAGTACCACACAGTCGGGCAGTGCCGGTATGGGCCTAAGGGCCCACTTCCCAAGCAGCTATAAAGGCGGGGCCAGCGATTTACACTGGTCGGCGTCCCCGTATCTGTCAGGGGCCCACAGTACCTGACAAGTGGTCCTGCATTCGCAAGAGGCCCCGACCAAGGGCGGGCCGAGAGATCCAGGCGTCTCATCGGAACCGACGATCAAGGATCCGCTTGGAGGGCACATGGGTTCGTAGGACTGTCTTTAGGACACAAAACACATCACGGCTCGTAGCTTCATGACCTGAAATATCAGCCAGAAGGCCTCTTGCACCGTTTGAGGAACTCTGAGGCAACACGGGTGCATAACTCGGCCAGAGACCAACGCAACATCGAGAGCCAGATTTGAGGACTGGAGGGCCCGAAGGACTGCCCCCCCCCCCCCCCGCCCGTAAGGCCGTGAGCTCAAATGTCGGTTAGAGAGCCTCTTACAATGGTTTGGGTTCCTGGGACAGAGGCTCCAGGACAGGATGGAAAAGGCCGCTGTACCATTGTAAAACAAAAAGCGCCAACAATGTATCGCATGCAGTCGTTGAACGCATGATTTTTTTCATTTCATGGAAGATACAATTAAGAAACAATTGATTTCGTGGTAGCTTCTGGGTTCCGCTCCGATTATAGAAGGTAAAAATGAAAAGATAAGAAAAATATGCTCTTCGTAAAAATGGGCCACATCCGGCGGTCTTTGTTGGGGGCTGGCCTTTGCCCACCCTGTGCCCTCCCTCGCCAACGGTCTGGCTGCGCTCTTCCTTTCTGGGTCGCTTATTTTGGGACACCTCATTTATCGGGCCCTTAAATCTGAGCTGGGATATTCTTAGAATGTACCACCGTGGTAACAATCATGAACTTGCTTTATCAGGACACAGATTACGCCGTTTCGACATTAACGTGATTTCTTACATAAGCTATGCTGCGTAAGCAGTCCTTTAGCAAAATATCTTTAAATCACAATAGCTCAGGTGTTTCCAAACTTGTCGGCACACAACGAATCTGTATAATATCTTATGCAGACAGATGAGTGGCCTTACTCGGGGTAGCACCACTGCTCTCGCTGGACATCACCACACCGGCACGAACAACGCCCCTCAGACAGGCGGCGGGGCTGCCTCCGACTGACCTGGGCGATGTCGCTGACCCAGGCGGCCTTCTCCTGGGCACCCCTCGCAGGCGGCGGGACTGCCTCCGGACTGACCCTGGGCGATTGTCGTGACCCCAGGCGGCCTTCTCCTGGGCGGTGGGCGCCACCAGGTGGAGCACCAGGTGCGTGTCGCCTTTGCGCTCCCACGATGAGCTTGAAGTCGAGGCCGATGTGTTCCGCGCCGCAGCTGGCCCACCGTCGAGTTGTCGGACAGCGACGAGGTCTGACGAGGAGGTCTCCGAATCTACGGTGGCCGGCGCGTCGGTGCCGGCGTCGGCGGCAGCCAGACGACCCTCTCTCTCTCCCAACGCGTGCTACATGCCCGTTCATTAAAATGTAAGAATGCAAAGCGAAATGAAAAATGTGCGGAGCTCAAGCCCCAAGCGTTTGGGAGGGGACCGGGTGCCGGCCGGGCGCCGGCACTGGCACGGTGACGACTGAGACAAAAGACGGGCGGACTTGAAAGCTGTCCGATTCCGTCGCGCTGGTGTACCGGTGCGGCGCGCGGGCGAATGAAACTGAATGGCTTTGTGCCGATGTTATTTGTGTGGCATTCGTAGCTGCGTGACTCGCAGCCTGACGATTGTCTGGAAGTCATCATGTGCTGCGGACGGACTACACTCGTGTGCAGGCCCATACGCGGTACGCATGCTTTGGTGGATTGGTGCACGACTGGATTGTCGGTGGCTGCACATTGAACGGTGGGTGTCGCCAAGAACCTGGTCAAAGGGGGCATGACATTTGGTGCCCAGGCACATCCATGTATTGGGAAACAATCTGACCATTATTACCCCAGCGGTTTGTAGTGTCATTGACGCTATTCCGGCATCACCTATTGCCACTCTCAGGCTTTCAGCCGAAGTGAGGGAATTTCGACCATTTGTAAGCCAACTTTACCTCTTGATCCTGAAGTGCTGCAGTCAATAATGCATTGTGACGCTACAATACGAAGAAGTCACCTACTGTACGGGCCGGAAGGAACTTCGCCCTTCTAGACGAACAGCTCAGCGCACAACAGCAACAAGCGTTCTGCCTCGTCTGAGCAACATCTCTGGCCGACGACGGCCTGCCCGCCGTTAGGGACAGCTACATTCTGAAGACCCGCTCGCGCACTAACCGAGGTCGTCGTCGTTCTCCGACGGGTCCTCGATCAGGATGGCATCGGCCAGCGACACGCGTCCTATCCCGTTGATGAGGTGCAGGTGACCGTTACTGGTCCTGCAACAAGACAACAGTGGCGTGATCCGACCGCGACACGGAGCGCCTGCAGGCTCCGGCTGTCGCTGCTCCGCCGGCATTAGCTGGGGCAGCGGCGGCAGCCCCGGCCGGGGTGACGGGTGGAGACAGACAGCGGTGCGTGTCAGTCAAACTTGCCGCGGCGCGTCAGACGGCCGGCTCTCAGTCCCGGTCGTCGAAGCGGGGCTCGCTCGGGCGACATCCCTGGTTCGCGAGAAGCTGAATGCACGAATATTTTGACTCGGCTTAGGTTGGTCAGCTGGCAAGACCATCATGGGATCTGGCAGGGGTTCAATTGGCGGTCATACCGCAAGCGGTGGAGATAATCTGGCCAGACAGTGCCTGCTCATAACTTCCCGTGCCACAAAGCGTCAGCCGAGCATGCGTCGTTAGCGCCAAAGTCTGCCGCTGTTGAGAGCGTCAGGCGGACTTACCGCGTCGCCAGGATCAGGTGATTACTGAACAGGAAACACTGTCGGATGAGCTCCTTGTCCCGGTCGCTCTTGCGCGTGAAACCGTCCAGTGGACCGCGACGGATCTTCGGAGCCTTCCGCTGCTGTTTTTCGGGCAAAATGTGAACTAGCGACCCTGTGGTAGGCAGAGATATTGCGATTGATCAGCACGCTCTGATTCACCAACCGCGCTATTCAGCAGAATAGCAACCGCGTACCATACGTTATTCGTCTGAATGCGATTATTTTTGTTATTCGGCGAAATCATCCGATGGTTCAACTTTGCCAACTGAAGTGCCATTTTCGACGTTTATTCAGCATGGCAGCTCTGTACTTTGCTTCCAAGTCTACACAAGCAGCGATTCGGCGCATTTCGCTGTGCAAATAACATGTAAGCCTGTTACATGCCTGCTGTATGAGAAGGACCCTTCTACCTCTTGCATGCAAAATCGAGCCGGCCGGAGAGCCAGGGCTCTAGTCCCGCAACCTCCCGGGTTAGCTATTCGCTTGATTCACCCATATTTTAATTGTTCAGAAAGATCACAGGTCAAGGCTTTCACCATGCATTCAGCGTTTACTGCCTGGTGTTCCCCCAACACAATGAAATATGCCAACAACACCTAAGTGATGCACTTGACACACCCCTAAATTACAATCTATCGCTCATTTAAATTTTCACCTCCGGCGTCTCTTCAGGCATTTCTTCATTGTATTAATGGAGCAATTGCAGAAAGAACTGATCGGGCAACTGGCAACACGTAAGCAATCTCTGACGCAAAGCAGGCTACCAATCAGAAACGGTTAAGTAGCTCGTGAAGAGACCCAACGGGCACGTCTATAGACGAATGTACGATCACACTCGAGGCTATGATGCGTTAGTACCAATAACTATTCTTGATTGTCAATACATGCGCTTGCCTGATTCCATCTTAAGTGCCTGGCCAAACAAAAATATGTGTGCCGGTAACATGGCGCTATGGCCACCGGTAGGCCCACTTGCGGTTCTAATATTTCTTAGAAAACTACCCAAACGTGGACTTTGATTTATAATTCGTCAGACACGCACAACCACCAACGCATCACATGGTAGCAGTAGCGCGGGATGAAATCGCGTGCTTCGCCATCACTTGCAGTCAATGCTCAGTCCCACCGTCTGAAGTATGTCAGCTATGCTCCCACTCGACGACCCCTCCACCCCTAAAGCGCAAGCCTTTTACCACACCGCGTGACAAATCATCGTCAGCTCTTGAGATAGCTGCAAGTGGCACCGAGCCCCGCAGAAAACTCCACGCGGGCGGCGTCATCCGTCTCTTCCCTGCCATAGCGTGACCCGGCCACGCCGCCCAGGGCTCCGGCCGCCCAGCCCCGGGACGCGGCTCCACAGGTGGACGGCCGTGCGCAACGATCGGCGCCGGCGGCGAACGCGGCGCGCCGGCGGCCGGTCGGTGCAGCCATCTGGGCGGTGGCGGCGGCCGGGAGACCCAGCGCCGGCCCAGAGTCGATCGATGGCAACCAGAGCACGGCGTATTACCGGTCGGCTCATCTCAGCCGACTGCTCCGACCTTCTGCCCGCGCCGCTGTCGGTCCGTCTCCCCCCCGCGGCTGTCAGTCCGCCTGCCCTGCACGGCTATCGGTCCGTCTCTTCCCCGCGGCTGCCGGTCCGTCTCCTCCTCGCGGCTGTCGGTCCGTCTGTTCCCCGCGGCTGTCGGTCCGTCTCCTCCTCGCGGCTGTCGGTCCGTCTGTTCCCCGCGGCTGTCGGTCCGCCTCCTCCTCGCGGCTGTCGGTCCGTCTGTTCCTCGCGGCTGTCGGTCCGCCTCCTCCTCGCGGCTGTCGGTCCGTCTCCTCCCCGCGGCTGTCGGTCCGTCTGTTCCCCGCGGCTGTCGGTCCGCCTCCTCCTCGCGGCTGTCGGTCCGTCTCCTCCCCGCGGCTGTCGGTCCGTCTCTTCCCCGCGGCTGTCGGTCCGTCTGTTCCCCGCGGCTGTCGGTCCGTCTCCTCCCCGCGGCTGTCGGTCCGTCTCCTCCCCGCGGCTGTCGGTCCGTCTGCCCTGCACGGCTATCGGTCCGTCTGCTCCCCACAGCTGTCGGTCCGTCTCCTCCCCGCGGCTGTCGGTCCGTCTGCTCCCCGCGGCTGTCGGTCCATCTGCTTCCCACGGCTGTCGGTCCGTCCGCTTTCCGCGGCTGTCCGTCCGTTTGCTCCCCGCGGCTGTCGGTCCGTCTGCTCCCCGCGGCTGTCGGTCCGTCTGCTCCCCGCGGCTGTCGGTCCGTCTCCTCCCCGCGGCTGTCGGCCGTCTGCTCCCCTGGGCTGTCGGACCCGCCTATTTTGTCCGTCCAACGCATTCGATTGCCCCGTCCGTCTGCCTGTACCTTCGGCCGTTTGCGTCCGTCTAGTGCGTTCGCCTGCTCCGTCCCGTTATTGAGCTTGTGCGCTGCGTTTTCCTGTCATCCTGTTTGATGTGTCCGTCTGATCCACCAGCTTGTATGTCCAATCTGTCCGTTCGACTGTCTGTCGGTTTCGTCTGTGACAGACAGTATGCTTAGTCAAACTGTGCGACCCGTCCGCCTCATATGTTCATCCACGTTTTGTCCGGCCGGCCGTGCGTCCGCCCAGTCTGCTTCGTCCGTCCGCCTGATCGTCAACAAGACGAATAATTAATCGCTTATACACCTTAGGTAGTCCATCTTTTGAACATCGGTCGCATGGCCAATCTGATTTCGACACGTCCAAGAAATGCGTCTGCATTCTCTGGCCGGCACTCGCAGCTCCGCCGTGTTGTCATGCATAGCAGAGCTGTTCTCGGAGCGGCCACGGGCCTGCTGATTGCTTGCTGCACATGACCGGCGCAGCGCGCGTGGCGCCGGCAAATCTCCCAGACGGCCGGGCATGGCCCAATCAATAGCAGACGGGCCGTGCTTGTCCGGCTGGGGCGGGTGTCTTGCCGCCCTCCCACGGCAGCCTGGTCCAGGCAGGATCCGGCGGCTGGAGAGGGTCTGGTCTGGTCCGGACACGCGATATTCTCGATGTTATTTGTGGGGACCGCGCGGAGAAAAATCAGCTTGGTTTAGGCATAGCTTATTCGAGTTTCACACCTGTATAGTTGGTCGCACGGTAGCTTGCAGAGCTCCTGTGCCATTTTGCCCTTACTGTTAATAATTTATGATAAGGTAAAATAAAACCACTAAATGTAAGGTAAGGCATTATTAGCTTCCGTGAAGAAGAATAAATCAGGATGGCCAATAGGCTTCCCGCACTACGTGCTAAATTGCACGATACGGTCCCTTTATGCATGAAAACCAAGAATGCTAACGTAATCCCAGTCACACTTATCCAGTAATCTGGGAGCTTCACAAACCATTGAATGTGTGATTTATGGGCAGCATTTGGCATGCTCCAGCCAGACTAAATTCCTGAAGCTAGCGTCGAAAAGCTCATGGACACGCGCTGGCTTACTGCACCTAGCCGAAAGGCTCCGGTTACACATTGAATCAGAATCAGCAGCCGCCTACATCGGAAAGAAATTGGCTTACAAACAAGCGAGTATTGCAATGAAGCAAACCACCACAGCTCTGATTGATGCCGAAAAGCACTGCATTCAAGGGTCATAATGATGTCGGCGCCGTCGCTTCGGGCCAAGGTCTTCTGCCGGTCCACTACCCCACCGGATGACGGCTCCGTGGACTGGGGTGGCCGCCGTCTGTTGGAAGGTGCGGAAGGGCAGCTGAGTGCGGCCCGACGGCCGTACTCCGTCTACAACGCCACCGCCGCACGCGGCAAGCATTAAGCACGACAGCGTTGTGTTTCCGAGATATCATTAATGGTAAAATTCCAGCGTGGCGTTAAGGGAGCATGCCTTGCCACAGAGAAGGTCGGGTGACAAATACTAGCATCATTACTGTCAAGGGCATCCATCTCCAGCCGAGATCCCATGCATCAAGCCGAGATCCAGCATCATTACTCTTGCCAGATCTGACAACACCAGGGGAAATACCAGCACCATTACTCCCCGGGGTCCTCTGGGCGCAACTCAGAGCGGCCAACATATGGGGAAGCGGCGCTGCATCAGTGCGGTTTCACTGTCCGAGGCCAGGTACGGGGATGCGTGGGAAAAGAAGAAGAAAAATGTTCACACATCACCTGGGCTTCCCGATCGGAAACGATGCTTTGTACCTGGTTCTTAAGCAGGACTTTGTATCGGAAAACTGCAAACTATTCCATATAGGGGAATCGCGAATGCGCACCCACAAAACTCACTTGGTTCTCCGTGTGATCTCCCATGCCGTGATCTCACAATATAGGCATCCACGTTGCAGGTCAATTGAATGAGTAACTTTGAAACCTGCCTGCAACGTCATCTACCTGCAGCAAACCCTGACGAGAGCTGCAAGTGTGAAATAAGCGCAAATGCTCGTGTACTACAGCTTTTGGTCTTGTCGGTTTGAAGGTCTGGTCATTATTTTGTGGTAGGATTCGTGATATTTCCCGGTGTTTAAAAATGACCTCGCGACGCTTAAAGGAGCGATATTCCCTTTAAGTGAAGCAATGCGGAGTTCGTCCTGGCGCGAGGTAAGGCAAATAGTCGATTCGCAAACCTTAAACATCCTTTATGAGACTCTGCAATGTCAACAGACGTGAAATTTGTTTTACGGAAATATGCTCTATATAGCTAGAGAATCCAACTTAGCGCATTTGCCACTGAACACGCGCTCGGGTGGGAGTCAAACTGACCCCCCCAAAGATTTTTCCGGGGTACTTTCCGACCGGCATAGTTTTGCGTAGCTGTGAACAATCGAATAGCGCCTCGTCTGGCGTCGGAAATTTAGATGTACCTTGTAAGGTCTCTGATCAAATGGCAGATCAAAGTCAGGTCATGGTTTCAGCGAAGGCAATTTCTAGGGAATTGTTCAGTCTGATCCAACAACGGAGTATTAGACGAAGCAATACAAATCTGAGATACTTTCTAATGCAACACAGCAATTAAATGAACAAATTAAATTGACCTAGGGTCAGGAATACACGTCAGATGAAGGTCAAAACCAACCTGCTCTCTTACTCTAGCGCTTCCTGTGTTGGGTAGATTCTGGTGCTCATTTCGAATTCATTGATAACGGGAACCGCAGTATACACCTCCCATAGACTTTT